TCGCACTGCATTAGGTCATATGAGCGTCAAGGGGTGGATGTCAATAGAGAAATCCACACAGGGAATCAGGCCAACTCTGCTCACCTTTCTTGCCTGAACAGCACAAAGTCTGCTTCGACTATCAAGGCACCCCGGAAATAACACTTCACAAGAGAATGACGAAATATACAAAAAAAGTAGAGGAAAAACCAGGATAGTAAGGATGAGGAAAGAAAAAGCAACAGTCCCCCCTAGGTTGTTCCGGCACAGTATGAGCATGACTTTGATAAATTTTTAATCATTTAATTTACAATTCTATTGTACAAAAGAACATTTTACTATCCCCCCTTTGGGCTGTCCCCGTCTTTTACGGCAAGAAAAATTCTGAAATTATGCAAACTGAACCCAAAATGTGAAATTATGCGATTCTGTTATCTTTAACAAAGAATGACAAAGGAAAATAATCAGAAATGATACAAAAAAGATCAAATTTTGCTAAATTATGCCGGGTGCATAAAACCACGGGGACAGCCTTTGGGAAGGGCCTGAAGACACTTCAATCAGTAGCACTGCCCAGGAGAAAGGGGGGGGGGTGTTCAGCCTAGATAGTACCTGGCAGACAAGAGTCGAAGTAGCAGGCTTCCTAAAGACTGTAAAACTGGGTCAAAGTGGGCTTAGTAAAACGTTTGAAAAAACAGTGTCAAACGTTTGAAAAAGCAGTTACAGTTACAAACTGTTATTGCAAAGTAACATTAAAATTTGGACTATCAGAAATTGGTTATACCAAAGTCATTGTCACCTGTCTGACGTTAGACATATTATTATGTTATATAATGCACTGACAGCTTTTAAGATGCACGGTTTATTATGTATGGTTCTTTAAAAAAAAAAGAGTCCACTTTTCATGAGAAACGTTTAAGAAGTTAGAAGGGAGTGCTTGTTTCGGCCTCATATGGCCTATATACCGAAAAGGACCCCACATAACCTTACTTAGGCCACATATGGCCTATATACGGTAAAAGCCACCGCCCCTCCCTCCCCCCTCCCCCATATAACCTTATTTAGTCTACAAGTAGCTCAAACTACCCTTTCCACGCAACTGAGTTCGTTCCGCTTTCGCAATGTTGCATCTTTCTCATTTTCATTTAGTACAGTTTTGTCTCATGTGTATAACTTATATATAGTAATATAATGAAAATAGTAAAAGCAACGGACAATACGGAAAATATCAGTATATTATAATAATTTTATGTTATAAATTTCTAGATATTTTACCTTCTTTTGTTTTTTTACATTATCAGATTTTGCCATTTTCTTTGATAAGAATAGCATGGGACTTTTTAGACAGAGTGTCTCTGACTCAAGAATTTTTGTGAATTGTGCTCATCAATGAAAATTGCTAATCGATAATAACTAAAAATAAAACACAGATGTCATGGGTAGTGAAGAAAAATATGTGAAAATTTGAAATGTTCACTAAACTGCCTAGTTCAATAAACAATGCACCAGCTGGCGAATAAGAGACTAGTCGAGGGTGCCATATTCAGCACCTTTGATGAATTCAAAGAACTTTTCGAGATATATATATATATATATATAAGAAACTAATACACATTGACATGTAGTTTCTTTGTATCCAGACATGCCAGTTTCGACATCTAATTAGAATATTAAGTCAACCTAAAACATGTATCTACAGAGGTGAATGAGTCTACACATGTACTAGAGCATCTTCACAGCCCTCATTCCTTGTTCTAAAACATGATTGTAATTGTAGACCAATACATATTTGATTTACGTTTGCGTTTGTACAAAAACAAAGCTGTGTGTGTGTTTGTGGGGTGGCTTCATTTGAAAGTACAAGCCATTCATACTCTGTTGTGAGTGTGTTTGTGTTTGT